AACCCAGACGTTGTCAAAACATTTTTCAGCTTGATTTATACAAATGTCACGATTTCTTATTTACTTTGCATGCTTTAGAAAGATAAATCACAACGTACTTGGAACTGGCTCTGAGTAGAATTATGAGCAATTTTATTGTTTAGATTTCGACTTTGGATTGGTTAATTTCAAAATTTGTATCAAAATTTTGTCTGTGTAACCTTGGTTCGTGCAGTCGCACTGTAAAGGAATGTAATGGTTGTTGACAGTCAGAATCGTGTATAATTGTATATGTATAATGTAATTAACAAACCTGACTATAGAACCAAAGATGGAACTTCTCTTTGGCAACCCTGCAACTTTCTCCTTCATCTTTTCTGTCGCAAACAGGATCCTTTAACTCCTCTTCTGAAAACAGGTGCAAACAATCGCAGCCACGATTTTCGTGGGGACCACAGCTGGAGGAGCCCTTCTCCCCACAGCACACAGAACAAGCGACACACAATTCGTAATCCATGTTCCTTAACCAGGAAAACTCCTTGCGCATGCCCTCAAGAATCAGTCCCAGCTGTTGATGAATACCATGGCTGATATTCAGACGCCTTTCATCAAGAAAATCACCTTTGAGAACAAAAACGATCTCGATAAGCGAAGAATAACACAATAAGGTCGCAGAAATATCATCCTCAGGAACAATGCGAAACATAGCATAGTTACTGCATGGCTTCGGTTGATTCCTGTTCTTGTGCTTTATCTTCACCTGGTCTTGAACCCAATGATGAAAAAGAAGAATAAGTCTCGAAAACAGGCCTGGGGGCACTCTGCCTGGGGGCTCTCTGCCTTGGGGCACTCCGGCTGGGGGCAATCTGCGTGATTTAAACTTTACAAAAAGAGAAGGAGTTTCTAAACCGGGACTGGGAAACGCACTTGTTGGTTTGGACTTCAGCATGGATGGTACAAGATACCGCTCCATAGTCCCTTCTGATGGCCATTGACAAAGCAGACTAAATTTCTCCATCATTTCAATGAGGCTCTCGCAGGTGTTTTGGTCATCAATGAAGCGTTTCCATACATGATCTAAAAGCTCTCTTTTTAAGATTCCACTTTCCTCAAACTCACACCACAGTCCCTCAACGTTTTCATCGTTGTGATTGAAACCTTTGAACGTGATTACTTCCTTAAACACGTCTACGAGCCACTGGGGGTTCAAAATGACCATGCGTTCCAATCCCGGTGAGTCATCAAAATTAATCAAAACTTTCTGGTCGTGTAAGAAGTTAAGTACCGTTCGAAAGTTTTCATCGCCGTCAATTCCGCATTTTTCTGAAGCTATCTTTCGTGCGTCCTCGATGGATATTTTGTCACGGCCCTCCTTCCTCATCAGATACAGAACCTTTTCATACCTTAACCACTTTAAAGGAATTTCCTCTTCCATTTGTGGAAGCTTCGCCGCAACAGAAAGCACTGCTTCTCTCAGCTTTTTTACGTCTTCGCACTCATCATTACTGCCTGACTTCGTGTTGTCCACAATAAAAACGTCTTTGAGAAGAGAACCATAAATTTTCCTCAAGGCTCCAAAGATTTTTTGGGAGGGATTACCTTTTCTAGTGTAAGGCTTGTCAGCATGCGTACAAGCCAAGAAAACTACAGGTAACGTTTCAGACGACGAAGTTTCCTGAGGGTTAGTATTATTGCTAACCAAAGAATAAATTGATGACATCCAAAAATCAAGGTAGTCGAAGTTTGTTTTTTCGCAGAATTCGTCGCGTATTTCCTCGCAGTACCTGCCTTCTTTCACAGGAGTGTCGGCTTTGCTTTCCGGATCACAACTTAGATCACAAGTCAAAATGTAGATGGCCTTTTCTGTCAAGAAAATTGGATGGGTGTCGTAGAAAACAGACTGTCCTCCAAAATCCCAAATGAGAGAATACATGTCGTCTCCCTCCATAAACTCTTTGTTATCTTTAAGCAGCTTTTCAACCCATGCTGCTACGTTTTCTGGTACTTTTTTATGATCTTCGGAGTCTTGAGGAGATGGATCGCTCTCACTCTGCTCTGTAACTGATGAACTGGTTTTGGGTTCCGCTGGTTCTACAGAAACTTCTGTACGTAATGAAGGGGCTGACGGTTCGAACCTGTTACTTCTAGATTCCTCTGACCTTTCAGTAGGTGGTGAATTCGCTTCTGATGGCTCGACTACTTGGAAATCTTTAACTGATGGCTCGACTTCTTGGAAATCTTTAACTGATGGCTTGGTCCCGCTTGTACTAGGATCCCCTAAACGTTCTTTTTCCTTTAAGCCTTTGAATAATTTCTGGGCTAGCTGGCGGTCAAACAAAAATTCTGGCTCGGTTTCAGTATCTTCGCTATTTCTGCCTGTTCTCCAGATGTCTGTCGTGACTTGAAAATAGGAAGGATCTGTCTCTATACCTTCTGTGCTTCCTTCATCTGGATCAAACAATTCCCCCTTTAAAGACTTCTTTAGACTTGTCTTCCCTGTCCGAGCTTGCCCAATTATCATGATTGGCACTCTTCTGGCGTAACCTTGTCCTTCTTTGAGTTCTCTATTGTAGACTTCCGTGGCCAGGGGACCTCGGGCTTGAATATCTAACGGAACTGATGGCGTAAAATAAAATATCAGTTATGGACCATCTGCTATTTTAGCACTCTGATTAGCTATTTATATAGAAATATAAATTGGATGAAACAGAGGTCTCCAACTTTTCAACTGTTTCGCTTTTTATTAGACGTGAAAACGTTTCACCCTACGGGCTTCTTCATTGTACAGTACAAAAACAATAAATCAAATCTGGATAAAACTATTTTTAAAACATTTGAAGGGCTACGTATATACGAGGTGAAAATAAACTGGTATCAAGTTACGAAAGCATGTTATGTAATATTGTGAAAAAAGATAACATAATCCCAAATCCTATCGAACGTTTGCAACATCCGCCACATCCAAATGGGTCTTTATATCTTTTTCGCGTAGGAACCTCAGATTCCTGCAGTAGTTGTATAAATGTCCATGAAAAATGAAACTTCCTTAACAGGTATTCGATAACTTCACAAAAACGATAAACCTGCAGCTTAATACAGAAAATCTTACGTGGTTTGCCTAAAAACTACAACGAAAAAACATTCCGTTTCATCAATCCCAGTTTTTGTGCGAACATCAATGAAAAGTGCTCTTTGGAACTGTTTCGTTACATAGCACGTGGCCGAAATTCTGGTCCTAAATTTCATTACAAAGTAACATGACACTCTGTAATGGGTATCTTACTGGTTGCTTATTTCGCGATTTTAGTAAGACAGCATTTCGCGGGGTTTTATTTTCGCGATGTCAAAAGGCAAAAGAAGCGTTTAAAATCAAGGTGAAAAGTCGGCTGATAAACGAGTTTTCACAATAAGTTTCAGTTGCTGTTTCATGGGACTCACCGGGATTTCGAAACATTGAGATAATATTGTATTAATGATGTATTTCCAAGTCTGTATTAACTTTCAACTAAAAGTGTATTACAAATCGAAAGTCTTAAAAAAATATTAAGCGGTTTTTAAATTACCGTGAAATTTGTAGGCTTGGACCAAATTACATACAAAAATGATAAAGAAAGCAGCCGAACGCACGTTAATCAAATTCTCATTTTTCGCAATTGGCCAAAGCAATGCCCTTTTTGCGCACACAGTTTCAGATGGAATCAAATCACTATGAGATGAAACTACACATACAAGCCTCATCATTTTCTTTAGATAATAGCTAATTATGTTGATAGCATGTTTATTCACCATTTTAATGACCCTTAAAACTTCGTTTCAAAATATTACCAAAACGAATTTGTTCAAACTTTGCCATAATCGAGGCAACTAAGGGAGGTACAAGCTCCCTTAAGCGATTTCAAAAAAACTGTCCTAATACTGAGAAATACAAAGGCAAGTAAAAAACATAATGGCGTCATTTCGTTGCCATGACAACTCCGATGCCAATAAAACATGGATCATAAAAAAAATTTTCATCTTTATGCATTACAGCTGTGGTAACTTTTTTCCGATATCTTTGCTAATGCCGACGTAGTGAACGCTCAAAATGGGAAGCAAAATCCCTAAAAAATCCAGAAAAACTTAACGACGACTAAACAAACAGTGGATTAAAATATGACATACTGATAAATGACTACTTATAGTAATACTACGACTGAAGCGTTCCGATATCTCTTTACTCGTACGAGTCGTATCATGAACGGGGCCCTCTCTCTACATTCTTAAACTCTTCCCCCAAATTCTAATTGGCGCTAAGGAAATGCGATTTCACCAGTTGCACGAGTCGCACAAGTCGTACCAATTGAACAGAGCCCTCTTTCTACATCTCTAAACCCTGCTTTTTTTCCCCTAAAATCCATACTCTCACTCACGTCATATTTACGTTTTTTTAAAGGGATCTTGGAGAACTTTAATCGTGAGGTGGAGTAGCAGTCTACAAAGCCGCGATGACCAACGTCGTATCGTTTGTGTCTGATTCCTTTTTCCACCAACACTATATTAGGATTCAAGGTAAAAAATTTGAATTTTGTTAATGCGTACAGCTTACGGGCCTCCAAACGGGCAAATTGTTTTCTTTGAGGAACTAAGAGCCACCCTTAATGGAGTCTTTGCTACTAGGTTTGGACCTGATAGTGCTCAGTGACAGCGGGAATGGTCGGGGCCCGATGGATTTCTGTGGTAATGATTTTAAGAGGAATAAAGGAAACATTTTAGCGAAAATTAAGTCAAAGTTAGTATGGGTGGGGGCGTGTGTGTGTACATGTTATAAATCCTGTCAAATTTTTATATTATTTCCGATCCAATTACTGTATGTATGCATGCATGTTGTACATAATAATAAATAATAATAATGATACAATATTTATAGAGCGCTAATTCCCAATGGTCCAGAAGTACTTTACATAATAAAAATTAAATAACATATTCAGAGATACCCCTAACAAAAACTAAATTAAAATCCTATAAAACTACATCATCGTCCTATAAAACATCATCATTCTATAAGACAACAACATAAGAAACTTTAAAAAGCCAAGTATTAAGCTTAGATTCAAAAGAAGAAACGGAATTATTACAAGATCTAAGCTCGAATGGAAGTGCATTCCAAACAGAGGGTGCAGCAATAGTAGAAGAACGGCCAGCATAAGTCTTAAGATTAAATTTAGCTGTAGAAAGTAACAATTGATTAGAGGATCTAAGACGTCTACCAGGTGTATAGGGCAGTAAGATCAGTGATATAGTTAGGTGCAGCATCATGAAGAGCCTGAAATGTAATCGCAGTTTTGAAAGATATCCTATTTTCAATAGGTAACCAATGAAGCTGGATAAGCAACGACGTAATATGTTCATGTCTACTTGTAAAATGAATAAACCTAGCAGCACTATTCAGGACACTCTGCAAACGTCTTAAGATACATTTTGGCTGACCGTAGAGCAACGAGTTACAATAGTCGATCCAAGCAGTAACAAAGGCATGAATTAGAGTTCTGCATGTATCGTGAGAAAGAAATTTGCGAATCTTAAAAATATTGCGTAGATGAAAATAAGAAGACTTGCATACAGCGGCAAATATCCTGTCCTTCTCGAGGTTTCTCAACATTTCACACATGTCCAATATACACAAACGGATACGATTCGTCAAACCGATGGTCCATTGGTACCAAAGGTAGGATTGGTACCAATAGAAAAGGATGTCATTCCAATGGTTCTGTTGGTCAATATGCATCTCATTAAGGGGACTTAGATTATTTTCCCATGTGACCTGGCTTGGTACAGGGCAATTCCGATGGTCCATTGGTACCAATTGTACCGTTGGTACTAATAGAAAATGATGTCATTCCAATGGTACAAAAGAAGTTCGCTTTTACACCAAGTAAAAACGCGCTAATAATTATTATGAATATTCCTCGTTCTATAAGCCAACCAAGGACAAGTAAGGACAGAAAAGGACGAGTAACGACGGAAAAGGACACAAAAGGTCTAACAAGGGCGTAAAAGGACCAGTTAGGACATAAAAGGACAAGTTAAGACGGAAAAGGACTTGTTAGGACATAAAAGGACTAATAAGGACATAAAAGGACAAGTAAGGACGGAAAAGGACAGAAAAGGACTAATAAGGGCATAAAAAAGGACTTGTTAGGACATAAAAGGACTAATAAGGACATAAAAGGACTAATAAGGACGGAAAAGGACAGAAAAGGACTAGTTAGGACATAAAAGGACGGAAAAGGACAGAAAAGGACTAGTTAGGACATAAAAGGACGGAAAAGGACAGAAAAGGACTAGTTAGGACATAAAAGGACGGAAAAGGACAGAAAAGGACTAGTTAGAACATAAAAGGACTTGAGAGGCTTAGGTCTGCATTTGGAGTTCGGGATACGGCACTGTCCTGGTTTGCATCATATTTAAGTGGCAGAACTCAGCAAGTTTCAATCGACGGCACACTCTCAACGAAGTTTGATTATTTGGAATGTGGCGTACCTCAAGGTTCGTGTCTCGGGCCTTTGTTGTTTGCTTGTTTATGCTAGCAAGATATTTGAAATTGTTGGCAAACATAATTTAGAGATCCACTGCTATGCGGACGATAGCCAACTCTATTTATCCTTCTGTCCTAATGATAATGCTAATCAAGAGGCCGCCTTGGCTAGGGTCGAAAGGTGTATTGAAGACATTCGTAACTGGATGCTGAACGACAAATTGAAACTAAACGATGATAAAACTGAATTCATGATCATTGGCACATCGCAACAACTAGCTAAAGTATCTATAAACAGCCTTCGTGTTGGGACTGCAACTATCACTCCTGTGTCATCTGCAAGGAACTTGGGCTCATGGTTTGATTCCAAGCTGACGATGGCAACCCATATATCAAAAACATGTAACTCTGCCTTCAATTATTTGTATAATCTGAGACGCATAAGAAAATATCTATCTAAAGACAACACCAAGACTCTGATTCATGCCTTTATTTCAAGCAGAGTCGATTACTGTAACAGTCTTTTGTATGGCCTGCCGGAGTATCAACTCAATAAGCTACAGCGTGTGCAGAACATGTGTGCTAGATTAATATGCAATGAAAGTAAATATTGTCACATTACTCCTTTATTAGTAGATTTACACTGGCTGCCTGTAAAGTTCAGAATTGAATTTAAAATCCTGTTGATTGTTTTTAAGATTTTTAAGGGTTTAGCACCCTCGTACTTAAGTTTTTTAATTACTCCTAAGCCTGTATGTAAATATAATTTAAGAAGTTCTAGCGACAGTACCCTACTTAGTTATCCGAATGTTAAGCCCAAGGCAACTCTTGGTGAACGGGCCTTTCTGTTTGCTGCACCTAAGTTATGGAATGCAGTGCCAAGATTTATTAGGGAATCCATTTCAATTGACACTTTTAAGAGAAAGTTGAAGGCTCACCTTTTTAAAAAAGCATTTTGTACCACTTAGATTATAAGATTGTAGTTTTAGCTTACTAGATTGTAAATA